TATAAAGATATCAGCAATGGTAAAATTAAAATTCCTATCCAATATATTCCAAAATCTAGAAAAATAAAAAAGATAACGAGCAATGTTCACTTTCAACAATTCATCGCGGTATTCCAACCAAACGACGTGCTAAAAAAAGACAAATTTTTTTCTAAAATCAAAATTTTTTGGTTAAGAGAAACTATCTTCTTCCACAATACCTAACAAACAACTAGAAATTGACGCGTAATTTTTAGGAGATGACACTATAAGTTGGGTGACTATCAGTGTCTTTCCCAAAAAATATAGCAGACAGGAAGGCATAATTTTTAGTGAGAATAGTGATTTTCATCAAGAATTTCTTCACTTCTAGCTGATGTACTTCGCAATCTTGCTTTACAAACAGAAATCACACACACAAAAGGGAAAAATCACTTTAAGAAAAAAAGAAAATCCCAGAAAGTGCACCAAATGAAATCTCTTATCCACAGAAGATAAAAAGGAATATAGGTAACATGGGAATGTATCTTTTTGTACAAGAGAATTGACAGGCTTCATAGGAAAGCAAGATTTATTCCCAATGGTTATATTTACACAGAACAATCGTCATCATAATCGAAGGCTAACACTGGTGTCTGGTAACGATAATAATTTACATATAGCAATGTTATGCTAAACGATTACTTGTCTTCCACTCAATTAATATCGAAGTATTAATCTTTTCGATAACTTAAAGACGTACGTGTCAATGTACACGAATATCGATCCCGACTCTGCAACTCATACTTTAGAGTTTGATTGTAAAATGGTAGAAGCTTCAATAATTGTTGAAAGAGGAAAGCCACTGCTCCATGAACTTCTTTCCTTCTGTAACAAAACCAGATTAAAAGCAAAAATAAGTTTCCACCACCATTTCTTCTGCTTAAAAGAGAGACCAGAGAAATTTTATCTATATCAACTGAGAGAAACAAATTAAGTATCGTCCACAAAGACTACAAAACAACAACAAATTTAGCCTTTTATCTATATCAACTGAGAGAAACAAATTAAGTATCGTCCACAAAGACTACAAAACAACAACAAATTTAGCCTTTCTTAATGATTTAAAACTTAGCTGTGTCCTTACCATTCAATTCATTGGTAGATCTACTGGCAGATTCTAGACTAAATCCTTAGCAATCACAACATGTTATGTTAGCTTTAATCTATCTCTCCCATTCGCGCAGACTGTTGAAAAAAAGGTTCTTCCAGATGAGAAATATAGTTGAAGAATCTGAATTTGACCAAATATTATGCCTGGTAGCTTAGAAAAGATTTGGGGCCCCCATCTCTGGTCCCTCCATGCTACAAACGAATCTATACGTAAATCTACCCCCCCTTGGTGGGATTAAAAATCAGATGTTTAGTCTAGATTTTGATAAAAGTTGAAGAAATGTATGGTTCAAAAGTTGTAGGTCCATAAAATGTATGGTTAAAATTAATTACTTGACTCTGACTTTTAGATTAAAGCCTTGATTTTAATCCCTCACTGAACAGGGGCCTAGATAAAGCACGTCGCAACCATCATAATTTTCCCAACATCAAGCAAATGACACTATTTATCATAATAAAACCTGACACATGGAAAATGCTTAGGTCTTCAAGCACAATATTTGAAGTCTCTAGCAATAAAATTTATTTCATCTGTCTTCAAGGACAATACTATGAGATACAAATAAATTTAAGTGCATACACCAAAGAGAAACGGAGATTTTACGTATACATGCAATGTCTCAAAAAGTTTCAATCGAGCTTAACATCATCAGTATATCACAATTCAAGGAGAAAAAAAAAATACAGTAAATAGAAAGCAATAACATAGGGAAACGTTTGCATATACAGCTCAACTCTTACTTAATACCAATAAGTATTAATCA